TCTTCAGCCCCGCAGCGATCGCCCGGCCGCGCGTCACCGCAGCTAAGTTTAGAGGCGGGAGGGGACACCGGCCCGGTCAATGCGTCCCTGGGCCACGGCCCCGCTTCCAGAGCCTTCGTTTCGGCATCTCTCTGTCCCCGACCCAGAGCCTCCTGGACGTAAATTAGGGTCGGAGGTCCCCATATTCTCTATCCCCACAGCCCCCTACAGGACGCAGAGAAAACTCTGAAGTTGGGATCAGGGGAAGGTTTGAGAGTGGAGCAGGGGCCGGATTCAGGAATCGCGGGGGAGCTTGGGTTGTGGCTGGCCTCTGGAGGGTTCGAACTCACAACTCCGGGAGCCGGGAAAACTCGAACCCGGGATCCGAAAGCTCTATTTGCGAGTCGAGGGTAGAAATTAAATTTGCAAATAATATTGAACCGAGGGCAACTACCGCCCCTATAACTAATGTAAACAGGTTCATAGGTACATTAAACGCACATGGCGAGGTCTTTGCCTCACTTCTGGGAAATAAAAACGAGTGAGGAGAAGCGGAGCACCCTTCTCTCGGGAGTCTGCTTCTTTGAGTCCTGGCGGAGCAGCTGTCGAGGGCCCGTTAACACCAATCCTCTTGTGGGGCGCCATCGCCCCCTGGCGGAATAGGCATGAGTTGCAGGTTTGTTTGGCTGCTCTTTCCCCAACGCGAGAAACTGAGTCCTGCCCAGGTTGCTCTCTGCCCTAGGATTCAAAGACACACTTCCATGGTCCTTCTTTATGTCTCTGGAGCTCTGTTCCCTCATTTGTTAAGTGAACTAAGGACACCTAAGGGGCGGGTGATTGTGAGGCCTTAGCTCATATTAAGTGGTCAGTCTACAACAGTCCACGCCATGGGGAGCAGAGTGGATGCATAGTCTAAGACTCCCGTGAGGAACTAAAAGGTGGATAGTACCCAACCCTACATATACTATGCTTCTCTCCTAAACTTTATCTTCTATGATAAAGTTTTATTTATAAGTTGGGTACAGTAAGAGATTAACAATAAAAACTAATGAAATAGAACTGTAACTGTACTGCAATAAAAGTTACGTGACTGCGGTCTCTGTCTCTCAGGATAGCTTATTGCACTGCACTCACCTCGGTCACTTACAGGAAGCACTTTTGGCGTCCCTTTGGCGTATCTGAATTGCCAGCATCACTACTCTTGCCCTACGGAGGAATTAATAAGTAAAACCAGGGTGACTTGAACCCAAGCACTGTACTCACTCCCAGTCGACCTGATAACGGAGGGGCCACTGAGTGACTTAAGAGGTGGGGAGTGTACACAACGTGGACGCGCTGGACCAAGGATGATTCATGCCCGGGCGGGTAGGAGCAGCCGGCGCAAGGGCCTGGCACGCAGCCTTCCTAGCCCGCGGAGAAGGAACACGACCCTGCCAGCGCCTTCATTTTGGACTTCTCGCCTCCAGAACTGAGAGACAATAAATTTCTGTTGTTTAAGCCACTCGGGTTTTGGCACTTCGTTCTAGCAGGACACTAATGCAACAACTGTATTCACGAATTAACCGTAGAAGTAAAAATTAATTAGGAAAAAAAAATCTTTTCTAGTACATAATTTAAAAGTTATACGTTGTTCACTTCTGGAACTTTCCATTTAATGTTTCAGACGGCAGTGGAACGCAAGTAACTGAAACCACAGAAAGCAAAACCATAGATAAGGGGAAAATGCTGTGTGTTGATGGTAATCTAGTTGATGGCAATATTTATAACTTATAGAGCCCTCCTTCCTGTGACCGTCTGGCCCCCTCCCTCCTCACCTGCTCTTCACAAGCAGTCAGTTTTATTTTCTTCATAGCATGTATGGCTGTCAGAAACTTTTTTGTATGTTGCCTTCTTATGGTCTCTGACCGCGGTGAGAGCGTCAGCTCCACAGGGTAGGGATCTGGTCTGATTTGCTCATCAATGCCTGGCACATTGTAGGTGCTCAATACATAATAATTCATGGAATGAGTGAACTAATCCATCTCAAGACAGGTCTCTTTGGTCTTGTTGAATCCTCACAACCTTGGCAGTTACAGGTAGGGAAACTGAGGCTCCTAGTGGGGAAGTCGCTTGTGTTAGGGTGTGGCTTATGTCTTCTGTTCCTTCACATAACATCCAAGTTGGTAGCTTCTTCTGGGTGCCAGGCCCTGTTTAGGGGCGCTGCTCTGCGGCAGCCGCTGCGGCAGCTCCTGCCTGTCCAGGACTTGATCAGGGCTATTTTATTTCTATGACAAACCCAAATAGAGCAGCATGCCAAGTACAGTTTTAGGCATCTTACACGTAACTCATTCTATTCTCGTAATAATTATACTATTATTATCCCCATTTTACAGATGAGCAAACTGGCACACACAGCAGCTGAATTGCTGATACAAAGTCACACTGCTAGTAAGTCACCCTGGGGAGAGTTACACCCAGTGACGGCACTGCTTCGAAACGGAAGGACAATAGGGGATAGTAGACTTCTCATCAGCAACCCAGAAGTCAGGGAGATGAAGGACCAGTTTTCTTCTAATTTTGCAAGAAAAACTACTAGAAACCCAGAATTTGATATTCCAATTGTGAGGGTGAAATAAAGATATTTTCAGGTGAGCAAGACTGAGAGGCCCTGGCCGGGTAGCTCAGTTGGTTAGAGCGTCCTGATTAGTCAAGGTTGCAGGTGTGATCCCCGGTCAGGGCACATTCAAGAATAAATCAAGAAATGCATACATAAGTGGAACAACAGATCCATGTTTCTCTCTCTCCCCCATCCTCTTTCCCTTCTTCTCTCTCTAAAAATCAATAATTAAAAAAAAATTAAAAAGACTCAGAGAGTTACTACCCACAATGGTCTGTGAAAGAATAGAATGTACTCTAGCATAAAGTCAACTGAATTCAGAGGGAAGAAGGTTATAAAAAGTAACAGAATCATTATGGGTTGAATTGTGTCCCCTCGCATAGATATTTTGAAGTCCTAACCTCACAATGTGACTTTATTTGGAACTAAGGCCTTTACAGAGATAGTCAAGCTAAAATGAGGTCATTAGGGTGGGCTCTCATTCAATATGGCTGATACGCTTATAACACAGGGAAATTTGGACACAGAGACAGGCACACAGAGGGAAGAGGAAGTGAAGAGACACAGGCAGGAGATTGCCATCTACATGCCAAGGAACACCTAAGGCTACCCGAAGCTGGAAGAGAGGCTGGGACACAGCCTTCCTAGCGCAGTCAGAGGGAACGGGGCCGTGCCAACCTTCAATTTTTGGACTTCTCGCCTCCAGAACTGTGAGACAATAAATTTCTGTTGTTTAAGCCACCCAGTTTTTGGTACTTTGTTACAGCAGTCTTAGGAAACTAATACAAAAGATGTATTCGTGGATCAATAAATAAAAATTAATTAGAAAAAATCTTTTAGACTAGGCTCCTAACAAAAGCTGGAATCAGTGGAGAGATAGAGACAACATGTTCATGGATATGAAAAAGATGTCAATCTTTTTGTAATTAATCCATCAGTTCAATGCAATTCCAATCTTGATCCCAATAGGATTTTTCATGGATCTAGAAAAGTAGCTTCTAAAATCCATCCAGAAGAGAAGATGTACAAGAATGGTAAAGACAGATTTGAAATTGAACAGAAGGGGAACGTGCCTGATGTAGTAGCAAAAGATACCGAAATAAAATAATTAAGCAGTATGGCATGTAGGCAAGAAACAGATATAGAAATCAATGAACCACAATAGAAACAACAGAAATGTGTGTGCGTGTGTGTGTGTGTGTGTGTGTGTGTATGGAAATTTGGTACAAGGTAAAGATGGAATGTTAAAACTGGGGAAAGGACTGACTTAAAATAAATGGTGTTAGGACGATTGGCTATATCCATTATAAACTCGACCTTAGTGCATTTTCTAATGTCTCATACGTGTTAAAGACAAAATCAAAACTAGGAAAGTCTCAAAAGAAATGATAGAATATACTTATGACTTTGGGGTATGGCAGAACTCTTAATACACCAAAAGCAAAAATCAGGATAGATCGATAAATAGGTATGAATAAATACTAAGCATTTCTGTATGACAAAATAAACAAATAAAGTTCAAACACAAACTACAAACTGTAAGGAAATATTTGGAAGCTATGTGACTAAGAGAATCGGAAACCATAAAGTACTCCTACAAATTAATAGTGATTAAGAAAAAAGGCATACAACCCCATTTTAAAAAATGGGCAAAGGATATGAGCAAGCAATTCACAACAGACAAAATATATAAGGCCAATAAACCCACAAAAACATGTTCTCTCTCCTTAGTAATCAGAGTTGCAAGTTAGAACAGCGTGATACTATCCTTTCAGGAAATGACTAATACTAACTCATCAACCAGGTCTCTGCTCAGATGTCCTTTCCTTCAGAAAGCCTTTTCTGACCCTCCGGCTGGGTTGGGTTTCTACCCGCCCCACACACACACACACCCGCACACACCGTGCCACGGCCCACTGAGGTCTTCTATCTCAGCCCTGCCCACCATGGGTCGTCGATGGAACTCGGTCTGTCTTTCTCACTGGGCTGCCAGCTCCAGGAGGGTAGCGCGGGGCTATCGTTAGTCACCTGTGTGTCACTAGCGCTGCTGGGCTCACGGCCTGGAACAGAGGAGTTGCTTGGGGGAATATGTGCGGAATAAAAGAATAAATGGGGAAACTGAGACCTAGTCAGTGGCAGAGGTGGGATTCAAACCCAAGGCTGTACAGAGAGAAGGGACCTAGTCTGATCTCCCACTATCTCTTCTTTACTGAACACTGCCTGGAGTCCAAGCACACAAGAGACGCTCAATCAGGGCTTGGAAATTGAACTGCTAGGCAACCAGAGACGCTCAGGCGCAAAGACAAACAGCTCTCTCCACCAAACCTCCGCAGTCCTCCACGACCATAGAGAGCTGAGAGGGGACGGCTCTCTGGGGAACGGCGAGGGCGGGCTCGAGGGCTAGAGAGGCCGGAAGTGCAGCAAGTCTAGAGCCGCGCCAGCGGGAGGACGCTTTGATTTCCCTCTGGGTCTTTACTCTGCCGTTCAGGGTCGAGGAGGTGAGTCCTCCACGCACCGAGAGTGCGGGGCCAGAGCGAGGAGGGCTGCGGAGGGTGAGGGGAAGGAGTGGAGTGTATGGAGACCACCCGGTGGCGATTGGCAGCCGTGGAAGCCAACCAATAGTTGCGGTATTAGAGATGGACAAGAGGGAGCGAGGGGCGGGCATACAGGTGCGAGCTCTGGGGCGGGGCGGACGGAAGGTGGGGACAGTGGCTGCGTCCCGCACCGGGAAGGCGGGAAACGGTGAGGGCGGGATGAATAGAACTTTGGGGCCTTGTGGGGCGGGGTGGCCGCAGGTGGAGGCTCCCTCCGGGTGGGGCTTTGTAGGACCTGGGGTGTAGGGTGTTTGCAACTTGATGCTGTGGCGACCTGGGATTTTTTTTTTCTTTTTAAGGGGGTGGATGGCTGTGAGTGGGGATTCCTCCTGGGGGATGGAAATGCAGATGCCGCTGTCTCACTCGTTCTCGCCGCCACATCATTTACAGGCCCCAGAAGAACCTTGGAATGGACGAAGAGGGAGGGCGGCAGCCCGCTGGGCCACCCGCAAGGAAGAAATTCCTCATACCACTGGACGGGGATGAGGTCCTTCCTCCTGGGGTAGGACGGGGAGATGGGAGACCGCTGGGAGGCTGGGGGGTTGCCGAGGAGGGGGAACAGGAAGGGCGGTGGGGCTACAGAGTGGGTTAGGAAATGTTGGAGCCTGGGTCACCTTCACCTTCTGTCTGTTTCTCTATCTGTAAAATGTCATGGTAGTTCCGAGAGGGCTAAGGCAGAGGCCGCAAACTGGCAAAGAACGAGTAGTCCCAGGATGTTGTTTTATGTGGCCTGCACCGTGCAAGGCATGAATTTTTTGCTGACTTTTAAGAATTGGAAGGTTTTGCAATTAAAAACAAACAAACAAACTGGTAAATCAAAGGACCTGGCAACGTTGAGATCTCCTTCCCACAGGAAAACAGTTGGCGGGTGCTGAGTACTGGCTGCTGCTTATGAGCTATGAAGAAAAGAAAGTGGGCTAAGGATGCAGGATGGGATGGCAGAGAGGTGCTCTCTTAGGTAGGACAGTCAAGGGACTGCCTCTCAGGAGACATGAATAAATGATAGTCTGAGCGGTGTGACAACATCTGTGGAGAGAGAACAGCCAGTGCAAAGGCCCTGAGGTCAGAGAGAGCTCGACAAGTTTGAGGGCAGCAAGAGGGCCAGTGGAGCTGTAGTAGAAACAGCAAGGGGGAAGAGGTAGGAGAAGAAGTCCCTGAGGCAAGGGACAGGGACAGATCTAGAGTCTTGTGGGCTATGATGGCAGCTATGGCTTTTATTCTGAGTCAGGCCGTGAGCAGAGGAGGGACATAATATGGCAGTGTGGGGAACAGACTGCAGGGGCGAGGGGTAGGCAGGGAGCTGTAAGGAGGTGATGATAGTGGTCCAAGGGAGACAAGCTGGTATCTGGGACCAGGGTATAGGCTGAGGAGTGGGGAGAAGTAGGTAGAGCCAGATTTTGATCCCCCCGCCCCCAAACCTATTTCTCCACCCAGGTTAAGCCCTTATTCAGATCTACACAGAGCCATCCCAGCACGGAGACCTCAGCCCAGGCAGCCCCTCAGACCTACGCTGAGTACGCCATCTCGGGACCTGTAGGAGGGGCTGGAGCCACACACTCCACAGGGACAGAGCCCCAGGCAGGGGAGACCCCCAGCCAGGCTCTCAAACCAGGGACAAAATCGAACAGCATCATTGTGAGCCCCCGGCAGGTGAGGAGCGGGATAGAGAAGTGGGGGAAAACAGTGACAGCGATGGCTCTCTGGGGGGCGGCGGAAGGAGGTCTGAGTTCTAGCCATTGTACTCTCAGCAGTGCCATTCGTTCATTCATTCATTCAACCACTGTGGGTGGGTTGAGGTTGCCCCACATGTCTTATTTTGCCATAACAAAAATACCATAGACTTGGTGACTTAAATAACAAACATCTATTTCTCAGTTTTGGAGGCTGGGAAGTTCAAGATCAAGTCACTGGCAGAATTGGTGTCTGGTGGAGGAAGGGGTGAGGTAGCTCTGGGGTCTTTTTATAAGGCACTAATCCCCTTCATGAGGGCCCCACCCACCTGACCCAATCACTCCCTTTCACCTCCTAATACCATGGCATTGGGGGGTAGGATTTCAGTTTTGGTGGGACACATTCAGTCCACAACACGCCGACTGCCCTTGCTGGGATTGTGACTTTGTTAGTGCAGCTACGTTTCCTGTCACCAGTTTTGTTCCTTCACTCAAAAACTATTTATTGAGCACAGGCCCATGTTCAAATCCTGCTTTGCTACACAGTAACTGTGTGGTCTTGGGTAATTGGCTTAACCCATCTGTGCCTTTAAAATGGGGGTTCAGCACTGGTCAGCGTGGTTCAGTTGGTTGGGTGTCATTCTGCAAAGTGAAAGGTCACCAGTTCAATTCCCAGTCAGCGTTCGTGCCTGGGTTGCGGGCCAGGTCCTCTACTTGGGGGCGGGGGGGGTGTGTGTCAGAGGCAACCGATCAAAGTGTCTCTCCCACATCCATGTCCTCTCCCTGTCTTTCTCCCTCCCTTCTCCTCTCTCTAAGAATAAATACATAAAACCTTTTAAAAAGATGGGGGTTCATCCACTTAGAGTCCACAAGGATGTTGAGAAGTTGCCAGGCGCTGTTTTAGTCTCTGGGGACAGAGTGATGGAAAAGAAAGAGAGAGTCTCTACAACTGACGGAGCAGGGTCAGGGTTAGGGTTATACAAAGACAATAATAGGACCCAAGAATGTGAGAAGATGCTCAATATCATCAGCCATCAGGGAAATGCAAACCAAAAGCACAGTGCGGTTCTGCTCACCCCTAGTCGGATGACTAGAGTAAGAGGACAGATGGTAACAAGGGCTGTGAGGCCGTGGGGGAGTTGGAACCCTCCGAAGCTGCTGGTGGGGATGGAAGCTGGTGCAGCCACTTTGGAAACTGGTCTGGCAGTTCCTTAGTCATTGAAGTACAGAGTTAGCATATGGCCTGGCAGGTCCATTCCTGGGTATATATCCAAGAGAAATGAAAATATTTGTCCACAGAAAATCTTTACACAAATGTTCATAGTAGCATTATTCAAAATAGCCAAAAACTGGACAGGACTCAAATGTCCATCTGCTGATGGCTGGGCTTTCTTCACCTAGCTCATTGAAGGTTCATCCACATGCTGTGATGTGTTAGGGCTCCAGTTCCTTTTTCACTGCCGAGTAGTATTCCATTCTGAGAATTTGCCACATCTTGTTTATCCGTTCACCCATTGGTGGACAATCCATTGGGCTGTTTGTACTTTTTGCTTATTATGAGAATGCTCGTGTAAACATTTGTGCACGCATTGTTGTGTAGATGTATGTTTTCAGTTCTCTCGAGAATTCATCTAGGAGTAGATTTGCTGGGTCACATAGCCACTCTATGTTTAACTTTTTCAGAAACTCCCAAACTCTTTTCTAAAATTCTGCATCGGCCCTGGCTGGTGTGGCCCAATGGATTGAGTGTCAGCCTGCAAACCAAAGGGTTGCCATTTCACTTCCCTGTCAGGGCACGTGCCTGGGCTGCCGGCCAGGTCCCCAGTAGGGAGCGCTTAAGAGACAACCACACATTGATGTTTCTCTCCTCTTTCTCCTTCCCTTCCCCTCTCTAAGAATAAATAAATAAAATCTTTAAAATAAAATAAAATGCTGCATCGTTTTACAGTCCCAGCAATGTGTGACGGTTCCAATTTCACCATATCCTTCCCACCTGTCATTGTCTGCGCTTTTGCTTTTGGTCACATCCTTTAAAAATTAAACTAGGAACCCTGGCTGGTGTGGCTGAGTGGACTGAGTGCCAGCCTGCGAAACAGGGGATCGCCAGTTTGATTCCGAGTGTAGGGCACGTGCCTGGATTGTGGGCCAGGTCCCCAGCAGAGGGCACATGAAATGCAACCACACATGGATGTTTCTCTCCCTCTCTTTCACCCTCTCTATTCCCTTCTCTAAAACAAACAAACAAACAAACAAAAAAATATTAAGCTAGGAGCCCTGGCTGGTGTGGCTCAGTGGTTGGGCACCAGACTGCAAATGGAAGGTTCACCAGTTCCCGGTTAGGGCACGTGCCTGAGTTGTGGGCCACTTGGGGGCGTGCAACAAGCAGCTGATTGATGTTTCCCTCCTTCTCTCTCCCTCCCTTCCCCCCTATCAAAAATAAATAAAAAATTACAAAAATTAGAACAGGACCCCGCCCCTCCCTTGCTTAAAGCCGTGCCGTGGCTCCCAGGTGCCGTGAATCAGATGGCCCAGGGCCTGTGGGACTTGGGCCCCTGCAGACCCTTCCCGCCCCCGCTGCTCTGCACACTGCACACCCACCAGGAAAGCAGCCCCCACCCTCTTCTTAGAACCACATCCCTCCTCACTTGGCAACTACATGTTCATCCCTGAGATTATTTTGTTTAATGTCCATGTGTCCCCCACAAGAGCAGGACACACTTGGACACACAGTTGGTGCTCATTAAATACTTACTTGGATGGATTAGAGCTTCACTGGCTCAGAGACTTTCAGTCTCGGGCTGTGGGGCACGTTCAGGATAGAACGTGAGCAGAGCCTGCTGAGCAGACGCCACGCTGTGGGGGCCTGACCAGTGGAGCCATAGGCAGCTTCCTGCTGAAGACACTGGGGAGCCACGGCAGGGTTTAGAGCAGGGGAGGGGTAGGCTTGTGCTTTAGGAAGACCCTTCTGGCTACCTTTGGAGGGTGGCCGGTTACGGACACCACGGGGGCAGGATCAGGAGGTGGAAGGGTGGGGGCCTGGGCAGCGGCGCTGGCAATGGAGGGCAACGTTCGTGGGGGACGCTTACCTGGAGGAGCTGGGGGGGTGGTAAGTGTTCGGGACCAACCCTGGTCCCTGGACGGTGGGACCATCCCTAAGATGGGGGAGGAGGAGGAGGTGTGGGGGCAGACGCGGAGGGCAGCTGGGACACGGTGAGGCGGACACCCAGGGGGAGGTATCTGTCAGACCGCACGACACCCAGGTGGGGCTGGAAGACAGGGCTGAGCTGGAGACACACGCAGGGACTCTTTAGGTAGGGGCTGGGGCTGGGGGCACGGGGCCTGTGTCAGCTGCAGTGCCAGGACCTTACAGGCTCCGGAAGGGGAGCCGGGAGAGCGCAGAGTGAAGCTGCGAGGCCGCTGGGGGTGGAGGAGAGGTGCTGAGAGAGGTGGGGCGGGCCGGGAGGCGGGGTGCTGGGGTCATCCCTGGTAATGGCTCTGGCTTTTCCTCCGCAGAGGGGCAACCCTGTACTGAAGTTTGTGCGCAACGTGCCCTGGGAATTTGGTGACGTGGTTCCTGACTACGTGCTGGGTCAGAGCACTTGTGCCCTTTTTCTCAGGTGAGCTGCGGGCGGCCGGCCCAGCGCCAGGAAGCCCTGCGGGGTGTGCTTTGGTGCTCTGGGCTGTTCCACAGGCGGCCTCCAGGCACGGCCCCGTGCCTCTGGGCCTGGAGGTGCCCCGAGTCTCCTGCGTCTGAGCGAGTTAAGGGCCCGCGCACTCATGTCCCAGATTGAGTGACTCCAACATCCAGGCCTGCGTTTGACAAGAGCCAGGATTTCTCTAACCTCCACGCCCAGGAAACCCGGGAGCCCCTCTCTAGACAACCAGAAAGGGGACGTGAAATTTCTAAACTCCTGTCCTCTCCACCAATGTGAGAGCTGGGGGCCCCAGGCAGAGGATCTCCTTGTTCCGGGGTGGAGAAGCCCGCCCCCCGCCCCACTGTTCCTTGAGGTTAAAGCCCACTCTGGCGGTAGCCCTGCTTCCCAAGACCAGCTGCGCAGTGTCCCCAGTCACACTGTTTTTTAAAATGTATGGATTTATTTTATTTACTGTTTGTTTTTTCTTTTAGAGAGGGAGGGGAAGGAAGGGATAAAGAGGGGGAGAGAAACGTCAGTATGTGAGAGATACATTGATCAGCTGCCTCTCACACCCCTATCTGGGGGTCTGGCCTATAACCCAGGCATGTGCCCTGACTGGGAATCAAGCTGGTAACTTTTCAGTTCACAGGCCTGTGCTCAATCCATTGAGCCACACCAGTCAGGGCTAATTCACTGATTTTAGAGAGGGAGGGAGAGAGAGAGAGAAACATCAATTTGTTGCTCCACTTATTTGTGCACTCATTGGTTGCTTCTTGTATGTGCCCTGACCAGGGATTGAACCCACAACTTTGGCATATGTGGATGACTCTAACCAACTGAGCTCCCTGGCCAGGGCCCAGTTCCACTCTTCCTTAGGGCACTGGTCTCTTCTCTATCTGAAACCCAAGCCTTCTCCCTTCCTCAGTGAACAGCCGGGGGCCACCCTGCCAGGGTGCCGGAGCCAGGCAGCCCTTGCTGTCAAGCCCTCCTGTGCCCCTTCCTAGAAGGGTGAAGTCGCTTACCTCTCTGAGCCTCATCTTCCAGCAAGGTCGTCCAAGCTCTTTGCATTTTAGTGAGAGTGAAGAGGGGGCCCCAGGACCTTGGGGACACGAGCCCTCCCAATCCCTTCCTGTCCCCTGCCCTCAGCCTCCGCTACCACAACCTCCACCCAGACTACATCCACCAGCGGCTGCAGAGCCTCGGGAAGAACTTCGCCCTGCGGGTCCTGCTCGTCCAGGTGGACGTGGTAAGCAGGGGTCCCTCCCCCTCCACGCCCTGGTCACTCTGGGCCATCACTGGGGATGGATCTGTCCCCTCTTTAGACTGTGAGCCCCTGGAGGGCTGTCTCAGTCGCTGCTGGGTCCTGGTACTGCCCAGCCCAGGCCAGGCACCCAGTGGGAGCGTAGTGACTGTCAGTTGAGTGGAAGGCTCCTGCAGCCTAAGCTACTGTGTCTTCAAGACTAATTCTTTGCTTTTTTGTAGATCTCTCATTCTGATTTTCTTCTCCACCCAGAAAGACCCTCAGCAGGCCCTCAAGGAGCTGGCTAAGATGTGCATCCTGGCAGACTGCACGCTGGTCCTTGCCTGGAGGTGAGCGCGAGGTCCGGCCCAGGTCAGGCTCTGCCCTGAGAGTCATTGCCCTGCCCCCGACCTTCTCGGCCCTGCCCTTCTCTTCCCATGGACTCCCTGTGGGGGCCTGGCCCAGGCGCTGCCTCTCTCTGGCCTCAATTTCCTCATCTGTAAAATAGGGTCCTAATATCTTTCTTGTAGGGATGGAGGCACAAAGGCAGGTAACGTAGATCAAATTCCCAGGACCATACTATTCACTTATGAGTGAGTCATAAAATCTGGCTGAATAATTAATTTCACATCCAGGTTTCTTTCTTCCTTTCCTTCCCCTTCCCCTTTCCCTCCCTCCCTCCCTCCCTCCCTCCCTCCCTCCCTTCCTCCTTCCTTCCTTCCTTCCTTCCCTTCCTTCCCTTCCTTCCCTTCCTTCCTTCCTTCCTTCCTTCTTTCAGATTTTGTTTATTTCTAGAGAGAAGGGAAGGGAGGGAGAAAGAGAGACAGAGAAAAAATCAATGTGTGGTTGCCTCTCGCGCACCCCCAACTGCGAACCTGGCCCGCACCCAGGCAGGTACCCTGACTGGGAATTTAACTGGCAATCTTTTTATTCAAAGGCCAGTGCTCAATCTACTGAGCCACACCTGCCAGAGCCCACATCCAGGTTTCTAAACACTGGTTCTCCAATTGGAGAAAAAAGAATCCCTTTCTCACACTGTAACAAAATGTAAACCCTGACAAATGATTTTTTAAAAATTATAATAAAAGTGTTATAAGAAATCTTGGGGTAGGAAAAGACTTCTAAGGCAAGACACAAACCCTAAAATCTCTAAAGGAAAAGATTGGCTAATATGAAAAAATTATAATTTGAAGCTCACAGAAGTTAAGAGATATTGTAAAGTTAAAAGGCAAATGGTAATCTAAGAAAAAAGTCTTGCATGTATATAACAGATTTAAGATCCCTAATGTATATATGGACATATGAATTATGTTCATATGATAAACTATATTTAAATATTTATACTCATATGAAAATATTTAAACATATTCATTACACACACACACACACACACACACACACAGGGTCCAGCAGAAGTAATGCCATTGAGTGTGGTTGGTAGGGTACTTGACTGTCTCACACAAGATGGACAGCGATTTGAACATTTCACCTAAAATGTCGTATGGTGCGCTTCAGTGTGCTATTGTTATGTTATAGAATTACATGGTTATGATTTTTTAATGAAGGATTTTTATGTAATAAAAAGGGGGGTTATTTGTGCCAGACTCTATACAAAAAAACCTTCCAGTTAATAAGAAAAAAGTGGCCCAATTTTTAGAGTCTAATATGGGTGGCCAAAAACACACAATTCATCAACCATATATAGATTATCTGGAAAAAAGTAAACTTTGAAAAATGAGGTGCCACTTTTCACCCATTAATTTGGTGGAAATATCAAGATGGAGAATGTGGAACGGGCACCTGCGTGTTTGGTTGGCAGGAGACATGATTGGCTATTAAAACAGGGAGGTGGTAATGAGTAAAGGGGGACCGATATATGGGGAGGGAAGGAGATTTGATTTTGGGTGGTGAACATAGTACCCGATATACAGATGGTGCTTTATAGAGTTGTACACTTGAAACCTCTATAGCTTTATTAACCAATGTCACCCCAATCAATGTAATAATAATTGGAAAATACAAATTTCTGCCCTTGGAATTTCTATTTTCTGATGAGCCCTGCTTGTGTGTGCACATCCACAATGACACAGGCCGTGGCATGCAGTTCAAAATCTGGAAGAGATATAAAACGGGGGGGGGTGTGTGTGTGTGTGTGTGTGTGTGTGTGTGTGTGTGTGTGTGTGTATGGCATGTATAGGGGTTGGCAAAAGTAGGTATACAGTGAGTATTAGGAAAGACATGCAGGTTATGATTATTACAGAAGCTTTGTTAACTCAAAAGGATGTCACAGTGGCACAGTGCACTTAGGTGCAGCCTCGGAAGTGCTCAAGTTGCTGGCCTTCATTATTTACACATTCTTATCTTCTGCCTGCTATACTCAAGCACACTTCTGCGTACTCACAACTGTAAACCTCCTTTTGCTAACCCCTACATATATACCGAATGTATATAATCAACAGTAGGTACAAAGAAGTCTCTCCTCTCTCCCTTCGCTCCCACTCCATCCCCCCCAACTCGACAGGTAACCGCTGTTGTTGGTTTCTCAGTTTCCTTCCAACGTGTCTATAAAATGCAGGCAGCATGTGCAAAAACTTCTTAGTTTTCTTCATTTCTAAGACAAAAGTAAGCATACTATGTGCAAATGCTCCTCGGCTTACGGTGGGGTTATACAACCCAATAAACCCATTGTAAGTTGAAAATGTCATAAGCTGAAAATGCATTTAATAGCCCTGACCAGTGTGACTCAGATGGTTGGGTGTTGCCCTGCAAAGCGAAAGGTCATTGGCTTCCTGGTCAAGGCACTTGCCTGGGTTGCAGGTTCCATCCTTGGTGGGGGCCTGTGCGAGAGGCAACAGATCAATGTTTGTCGCTTGCATAGATTTTTCTCTTCCTTTCTCCCACTCTTCTCCTCTCTCTAAAAATAAATAAATAAAATCTTTTAAAAAGTGCCTTGAATACACCTAACCTGCGGAACATCCTGGCTCAGCGTGGCCAGTTTCCACTGAGTGTGTGTCACTTCTGCAGCATGTAAAGCTGAAAAGTCATGAGCCGCCATCAGCAGACGGGTGCTGTCGGGGTCTGTTCCCTGCCTCGCTGTGTCATTACCTGGGAGGCTCTGCCATGTCCATGTAGACAGCAGCCTCTGCTTTTTTTTTTTAATCCTCACCTGATAACTTTTTTTTTTCATTGCTTTTAGAGAGAGAGGAATGGCGGGGGGTGGGGGGTGGATGGGGAACATCGATTGGTTGCCTATCTTACGTGCCTGGACCAGGAATGGACCCCGCAACCTGGGTGTGTGCTCTGACCGGGAATCAAACCCGCAGCCTTTTGGTGTGCAGGACGATGCTCCAACCAGCTGAGCCACACGGGCCAGGGCGCCTCATTCTTTTTCTCTTAACAGCTGTGTAGTATTTCAGCATAGTGTCCACATTTCTAAACAAATGAATAGACTTAATTATGTAAATGCAATTTTCAGTTTATAGAAAAATTGATCAGATAGTACAGAGTTCCCACATACCCCTTCTCCCCCTACATACAATTTCTCCTATTATTTACATTTTGCATTAATCAGTGTGATACGTTCGTTACAATTGTGTTGTACATTCTATGAGCCTTGACAAAGGTATGACATGTGCCCATAATTCCTGTATCCTACAGAATATTTCAGTGTCTTAAAACTCCCCCATGCGCTGCCTATTCCTCCCTCCCTCCCTCATGCCCTGGCAACCACGGATCTTTTTACTGCCTCCGTAGTTTTGCCTTTTCCAGAATGTCCTACTGGAGTCTTAAGAGTATGTAGCTGAAATATCAATAGAAAACAAAAACCATGGTTCTCATGGGTAGGAAAAACCGAGTCCTGCCACACTGTGGGTCTTTATCCTGCATGTCCCCTTTACTACTCACAAAACACTCACTTCGGGCCACTAAACATGTGGAGGTTTTCCCTATACCGAGCAATTCCCGGGCACGCCAGCTGGGTGTCCTGAAGTTTAACTCAATTCTGGCACTGTCTGCCTGGAGACAGAGCCCGATCCCACGGGTCACAGGCTCAGTCCCACAAGAGCTCCCCAACACACCCCCCCCCATGCCGGTCGAAACCACCCACGCTTCTGGCACCGGCTGTAGGTGGGAGGTTCTCATGACCCCCTCCTCGGGTTTGACTAACCTGCTAGAGCGGCTCACAGAGCTCAGGGGAACACTGACTTCTGTTTACCAGCTTATTGGAAGACAAGATAAAGGATACAGATGAACACCAGATGGAGAGTGACATCGCGGGAGGTCTGGGAGGGTCCCAAGTGTAGGAGTGTCTGTCCCCACGGAGGCGCGTTGAGTCAGCCTCCTGGCGTGGGTGTGTTCGCCAGCCGGGAAGCCCTCTGAATGCTGCGCTGTCGGGATATTCGGGAGGCCTCCTCACGCAGGCATGATCAATTATTAACTCCCTTCTGGGCCTTCTGCCGTCTCTGGAGGACGGGGGTGGGGCAAAAACTTCCAAGCTTCTAATCATGGCTTGGCCTTTCTGGTGACCAGCCCCGATTCAGGGGGCCGTGGAGAGTCACCTCATTAGAACAAAAGATGCTCCTAGTGCTCTTATCACTTAGGAATTTACAAGGGGCCCAAGGGCTTTGTGCCAGGAGCCAGGGGCAGAGAGCAGCATAGATTTTCTATTATCTCACAGTGGTCTCTTCAGATTGGCTTCTTCCACTTAGCAATATGCTTTTAAATTTCCTCCGTGGCTTTTTATGACTTAGTAACTCATTTTATTTTTAATCCACACCCCAAGGATATGTTTATTGATTTTAGAGAGAGGAAGGGAGAGAGAAATGTTGATGTGAGAGGAACATCGATTGGTTGCCTCCTGTAGGCGCACCCACAGCCTAGGCGTGTGCCCTGACTGGGAATCAAACCCGCAACCTTTTTGGTGCACTGGATGATGCTCCAACCAAGCCACCTGGCCAGTGTGTGGTAATTCTCACCCCAGGACATGCAATTATTGACTTTTTTCCCTTAAGAGAGTGGGTGAGAAAGAGAGGGAGAAAAACATCAATGTGTGGTTGCCTCTCGTGCGCCCCCTGCTGGGGACCTGGCCTGCAACCCAGGCATGTGCCTGGGAATTGAACCAGTGACCCTTTGCTTCGACTGGGAATTGAACCAGTGACCCTTTGCTTCTCAGTCCAGTGCTCAATCCACTGAGCTTCACCAGCCAGGTGTGGTGACTCATTTTTAATCACTGAATACTATCCCATTGTCTGGATTCACATTCTTTTTCAGCTGCTGAATATTGTGTAGGTGGGCCAGGTCAAACCCTACTGATGGACGCTTGGTGAGGGAGGGGTCTCTGCCTTTTGCTGTTACCACCAACACTCCTACTTCTGTCCTGAGCCCCAAGAATGGGTTCGTTAGGCCAAAGGGTATTTGTAATTCTGTGCCTTCCCCCTAGGTGTGTACCTCTATTCTGTTTATTTGCAAAAATGTACTTAGTAGTACAGTAAGACAAAAGCAAGTATAAAAATTACTCTGTTTTGCGGAAAGTAGCAGAGTGTCGTATTAGGAGCCTGGCTGGGTAAGGCAGACCCACTGAGGGGGCTGTGTCCTCGCCGGCTGTGTAACCTGGGGCAGGTGACTCAGCCCGCTGCTCTCAGTTTTCCCTCGGCCTTACAGGATCTCCAAGGGCCATCCTGAAGCTGCTGAGTGTAATGGGCTCAGGACCGTGACTGGCACACAGCTCAGTCCCCCCCCCCCCCATATTGGGAATATTTCCTATGTCTACATTCAAACTATGGGGTATCTTGGAACCATTAAATAAATGAGATCGAGCACTATCTGCTCACATGGGAAGACGTCCTGATTATATTGCAGAGTGCAAAACTGAAAGCAAAGTACAGAACTGGGTAAGGTGTGCTAACTCTTGTGTCTTGGCAAATATTAATCACAATAATATTCACCCTGGCTGGTGTGGCTCAGTTGGTTGAAGCGTCGTCCTATAAACTGAAGGGTCATGGGTTCGATTCCCAGTCAGGGCACATGCCTAGGTTGCAGGTTCAGTCCCTGGTTGAGGCTCTCCCTCTCTGTCTTCCTCCCTTTCCCAATTAAAAAAAAAAAAGAAAAGTCTGCCCTGGCTGGTGTGGCTCAGTGGATTGAGCGCCAGCCTCAGAACAAAAAGTTCCCTGGTTCAATTCCCAGGCAGGGCACATGCCTGGGTTGCAGGCCAGGTTCCCAGTTAGGGGCATGTGAGAGGCAACTGATCAGTGTTTCTATCCCTCTCTTTCTTCCTCCCTTCCCCTCTCTCTAAAATAAATAAGTAAATAAAATCTTTTTTAAAAGTCAGTAAGCATGTCCTTGGGTGAGGATTAAAAAAATAATACCTGCTGCATTGAGAGAAAAGCAACAAAGCCCATTTTATGTTTATGTTAAAACAATAGAATTAGAAAAAATGAATGTCTCTCTCAAGACATCAACATTTCATCAACAAACATCACTTACAAGCTGGATTTGGAAGGCTAAGAAAATGCCTCACAACAAATACTGTAATTCACTTGGACTCAATTCACTAACTTCAAGTTCCAGAGAAAAAAGGCCAGCACTGTCCTGTGCTAATAAACTTGAGTTATGTGCTTTACTCTGCACACATGTGGACCCTTTTTATGATTGAGCTGTTTCTGCTATCTTTGAAATAATTATGTCAAAGTATCTAATTTGGAAATTAGTGGTGATTATGAAGTCATGTTTGTTGCTATAAAAGATTCCGCAGTCAGTCCTGGCCGGTGTGGCTCAGTGGATTGAATGTCGGCCTGCGAAACCAAAGGTCGCTGGTTCGATTCCCAGTCCAGGCACAGGCCTGCGTTATAGGCCAGGTCCTGGGTAAGGGGGGTGCTCGAGAGGCAACCACACATCAATGTTTCTCTCCTTGTCTTTCTCCTTCCCTTCCCCTAAAAGTAAATAAATAAAAATCTTAAAACAAAACAAAAAAAAGATTCAGCAGTTAGTCCTGGAGCTGTCCTCCCAAAGATGGGCTTTATAGAAACACTTTCAGAGACTGCTTTTCTTGATGGGAAGTTGGATTCTCAAGAGGCTGTCTTCCTGTGGTGGAGAGAATAGACGGTAGTTCTGGTCTTCCTCTCTGGAGCCACTGCAAGGACTCCGGGCGCTGACTTCCCTTCCAGAACAGCTAACAGTTTTTAGGCTTCAAAGTGCCAGGCACTTCCAGAACATTGACTCATTTAATTGTCACAGTTCAGCCATCCACCCCACTTTACAGATGAGGAAACTGAGGCCCAGAGAGATTAAAATCACTGGCCCCAGGTCATTCAGGTGAGAAGTGGCCCCTGACCCAACTGGTCAGGGTCCCAGGCTCTGGCCCTTAGCCAGAAAAGGTGGGTAAAGGCACACCCTGCAGCGGTTGCTGCCCTGGCGGCATTTAGGGGAAGCCCAGAATGTCCATTTTTCTACACATTAGAGGTTGGAATTCTTAGCGTCAGCAATGACTACTACCCTAAAGAATGCATCTACAACATGACCCCTCCTTACGCTGGCTGACCCGAATGTCCTCGGACCCTAGCCCCGAGGAGGCTGGGCGGTACCTGGAGACCTACAAGGCCTATGAGCAGAAGCCAGCGGACCCCCTGATGGAGAAGCTGGAGCAGGACTTTGTCTCCCGGGTGAGGCCACGTCCCCTCCCTGCCCAGGCCTCCCCGCAGCCCCTTCCTGTGTGTCTGAGTGCCAGTTCCGCTCTCAGGTCCCGCTCCCGCGTCTCTTCCCCAACCCCACCTGCTTCCAGCCTCCCCTTTCGCACCTGACGAAAGGGGCCTTCCTAAGCACAAACCTGACCCCGCCCTCCCCAGCTCCGAACCCTCCCGCGGCTCCCCGGCGCCCCCAGGGAAAGCCTGGGCCGGCCACGCCGTGCTGGGCCAGGCACTGCCAGTTGGGCCCGGCGCACCTGCCCCCTGCCCTCCTGTTCTCTGTCACTCCTCCCAGGCCTCGCTTGCTTCTCTGAGCGTGTCCATTCTGTTCCCTCCACTGTTGGTCTGATCCCATCTTTCTTTTTTAAAAAACGAAGTTATTTATTTTAGAGAAAGGGGAGGGAGAGAAAGAGGGAAAGAAACATAGATGTGCAAAAGAAATATTAATCAGTTGTCCCTCGCATGCCCTGAATGGGGGCCTGGCCTGCAACCCGGACATGTGCCCTGACCAGGAATCGAACTGGTGACTTTGCTTTGCAGGACGATGCCCTACCCACTGAGCCACACCAGTCTTCAGGGCTGCCTGATCCCGTCTTTCACAGCTGAGCTTGGATGCCCCCTTCTCCATGAAGCCCTCCCTGATCCCCAGGCCAAGCCAAGTGCCTCCATGGGACTATCCCATTCCTGCCCGTCTGGGCCACGACTGTCTGGAACTAATTTGTCTCCCACACTATACTGGGAGCCCCAGAAAGGCAGAGCCGGGCTGTCATGGCCCCTGCCGTGTCCCCAAGCACCCCAGCACTCAGCGGGTACTCAGGGAATATCTGCTAAGTGAATTGTTGAACCCAGGCTCCAATGACAGAGTAATTAATGGTGGAAGCCTGCAGCCACCCGAGATCAGTATGACCAGGATCGCCATGTGCCTGAAAATGGAGGTTCCTGTGCCCAGGAGCTCAGGGAGTAAACAGTGGGGCCTGGGTTTGAACTCGCCTCCGACTTCAGAGCCCAGTCTTCCCCGGGCTGACCTAGCTTGAGAGAAGCGGCATTTATCTTCTCATCACATGACCCTCTCAGCTACTTGCGGTCACTCTGAGATGATCTTTTAATTAATCACTCCGAAAAAGGGGCATTTATTGAGCACTTCCTGCATGCAAGGCAGCCTAGGGACATAGCTGTGACCCAGTGCTGCCCTCACGGGCTCAGCCCTGCTCTCCTCCCAACACATCTCTGCCTCTTCCCCCCTTCCAGGTGACTGACTGTCTGACCACCGTGAAGTCAGTCAACAAAACGGACAGTCAGACCCTTCTCACTACTTTTGGGGTAAGGAAGGAGTCCTGTGTCTCCACAGGCATTTCTACGCTCATGCCTTTTCGAGGGAGGCCCCTGCCCTTTCCCTTCCGTACTCCGCTCCCCGCCTTCCCTGCCCTCCCACTGGACTTCATGTCCTTCCCGGAATGTGGCAGGCTCCAGATGAGCCGGGGCCGGGCAGCGTTTGGTGCTCACCTCCCCTGACCCTGTGCTCCCATCTTCCTCAGTCTCTGGAACAGCTCATAGCTGCATCGCGGGAAGATCTGGCCTTGTGTCCGGGCCTGGGGCCCCAGAAGGTAAGAGCCCCGGGAATGAGCTTAGGGGTCAGGGGCAGGAGGGGGCTTCCAAATAAATGGGACCCCGGATCCCAAAGTTCTGAGGTTTCAGAAGTCCCACAGTGCCTGTCCTGCAGATGGAGAAAACCAAGGCCCGGGGTGGCGGCGGGGCGAGCCCAACCTCACACAGCCAGGCTGGGAGAGAATCTCTCCCAGGCCCCCGGGCCCCTCCACTCCGGACTTACCAAACAAATGGCTCATTCAGTGACCAGTTTGTTTATTTCTCTCCCCCACCCAGGCCCGCAGGCTGTTTGACGTCCTACATGAGCCCTTCTTGAAAGTGCCCCGATGACCTCAGCTGCGGAGGCGGTCCCTGTGTAACAATAAAGCATTTCCCATCCAGGCCCCTGCTGGTGTGCGGGCACAAGCGTCCGGGAGGCGTTCTCCTCTGCTCTCGTCCTCTGGTGGCCCAGGGGCCGCCTCAGCCTCTCTTAGTGGCCACCAGTTTACCTGGAGGAGACTATGCAGGATCCTGCTGCAGCTTCCTCTTCCTCTTCCTCTCTCGTCCCGGGGGAGCCATGTCCTCAGACTCCGGGTTCAGTGGAGGCTCGGGCATCTCTGGGGATGCTGTCGCTGGCACCTCACTTTCATGGTGCCGCTTCTTCCGCTTCTTGCTGGGCGCTGGGTCTGCCCTGGCCTCAGGCTCCATCAGCTCACCCTGTGGGTCAGCCGTCTCAGCCCCTGGCTCTGTCGCTCCATGCTCTCTTTCTTTCTTCTTCTTGGTGGATGCTGGCGCTGCCTGAGGCTCAAGGTCACCTGGCAGCTCAGGCTCCACCACCTGTGTCTTTGGTTCCATCACTGCATTTTGCCATTTTTCTTTCTTCCTCTTCTTTTGGGTGGGTGCCAGAGCCACCTCGGCCTGTGGCTCAATGTCACATGGCAGCCCAGGCTCCATCATCTCTCCTTGGACCTCCGGAGGCCTCATCTCCAGCCCCGCAGCCTCCGTCCCCAGCTCCACTGGTGCGCTGCACCCCTTTCCCTTTCTCTTCTTTGGGGACAGCAGTGGGATGGATTCCTCCTGGGGCTCCTCCTTCACCTGTAGCTGAGACTCAACTCTCACCCCCTCCACTGGCTCCGTCTCTTCTGTCCCCTTCTGTCTCTTCCTCTTTTTCATGGGGGATAGGACTGTCTCTTGCAGAGGCTCAGTTTTAACTGTGAATTCCAGCTCCACAGGCTTGTCTTCTTCTGGCTCCAGCATCGCAGTTTCCGTCTCTTTAGGCTTCTTTTTCTTCTTCTTGCTGGCGGAAGGGAACAGCATTCCCTGGGGTTCCAACGTCTCAGCCGTGGGCTCTGGCTTCATCACCTCCAGTTCATTCAGCTGATGCCTTTTCTTTTTCTTCTTCCCCGTGTCCATCTCTGAGGACCCCCAGGCTGTGTCCCCCTCCAGGGTCCCGTGCCCATTCACCCCTTCCCGAGGCATGGAGGCCTCAGCCACATGCCTCCTCTTTTTCCTCTTCCCTGAGGCCGGCGACCTCGGTGCCAAGGCTGAGGCAGGCCCTGTGACTGGTGGGCTGCCTCCGAAGGCACAGAACCGAGGCCTCAGGCCAGGGGGGATCTGTGGTGGGGGGCTTGTGGGAATGGGGTGCAGTGGAGTCCCTGACAGGGATTCTTGGGAACCCTCTAAGATCCTTAGGCTGCCCCTCGGGGTGGGGGCACAGGTGAGCCCGCCTCCCGCCTCTGCGGAGGGGGCCAGCAGCGTTGCTCCTCCAGCCTGGGGGCCGCTGCTGCTGAGGATCCTGTAGCGGTGCCGCTTCCCTGCCACCTTGCCTTTCACAGTCTGCGAGCCAGAGAGAGGCACCAGCCGTCCATTGAGGCTGAAAGGAGAAAGGGGGAGGGCAGAAGCTTGGTCAGGTTCTTTCCATGGCACAGGGGAAAGGAGCTGAGAAGAAGCCTTCCTAGGTTCCTTAGGACAAGCCCCTCTAAATTTCCCTTAAGTTCAGCGACTGGGGGTGGGCAGTGTTCCAGGGAGGTGGCATGCGACCACTCACCAGTCTGGAGCGAAGTCTACAGGGGCCTGGATAAGCCACAGTTCCGTATCTGGGCCGGTCAGTGCCTCCAGGGAGAAATGAGTGAGCTCTGAGGCTGGGGGCGTCGCGGTAAAGTTGGGGGGGCAAGAGAACCGAACAGTACCTGCAGAAGAGGAAACGAGAGTCTACTAACACCTTCCCGCCAGTTCAATCCTCCAGGGCGCCTATCGGTCCGTTGGGCCCAACCTCTTGAGCATCTCACCTGGTCCCTCTGACGGTCTGTTCCCTGGAGACCCCTATTCCCAACTGACCCAAGCTCGGGGGCGGGAGCCTCTCTCTACTGGTAGTTCCCTCAAGATGTCCTTTCTCCGACCGAACTCCCTCCTTCCACAGGGCACGCTTTTCACAGGTCCTATTTCCGGAAATGCCCCTTTTCCCGTCCCGGGTCCCCTTTCTCCTCCCTCCAGCCAGCCTTCTGCCTCCTCCCGTCGGCCCGCTCTGAAGCAACTCACCGCCGGACGGGGTCCCTGCCATCCCGGTACCCACGACTGGCGTAGAACCCTCAGCCAAAGCAGCTGTGGCCCCGCCGCTGCCGACCACGTGGAGCCAAAGGGGTGGTGACTCGCTCGGGAGCGCTGATGGTGCGCGGGAGCGCGGGGGCGTCGCTCGCAGCTCGCTCGCTCTTTGAGCAGAACCGGGGGAAATTTGCCTTGTGCGGAGCAGGCAACCAAGGAAGACATCTTTTCCTGTAAAGCAGCTCGTTAAAGCAGCTGATTCATGTCTGGCAGGAGGTAGAGCCTCACCAGGTCCCGGCGGGCATCCCCCTTAGTCTCGCAGACATTGTTTGCGCCAACGTCGCGTTAAAGGGGCAGCCACATTGATAAGACCTAACTCTTAAAGAGACAGGAAGGTCGATTGGTCTGAAATTCTTAAAGAGATAGGTAAGAGTCTTGGTTGGCATGGCTGTGCTTTCCGTGTTACAGTCCCTTCTAGACAGGCCCAGATGCCTCGGAAGTTCAGAACTTGAGTGAGAGGAGTGGGAAAATGAAGGAAAAGGGTAATTTCTCAGGAGGGCTGGAAGCATCGCCCAGGGGCGGGGCTTCTGGACTTTGGGGGAGCGGGAAACATAGGGGGCGGAGCCTCCAAACTCTGGAGCCAGTCGCGAGTGGGGACGTACGGGCTCAAGGGTAGGACTTGCGGGTCCAAAGAGAGGGATGATGTCCCGGAGGGTTTAGTCTCGTGCCGGGGGCACATTCTCCAAGGCTCTGAGGAAGGGAGAGGGAGTAGATCAGAGCACCTTCCTGGACCCGGGGCGCGTGTAAACAGCGGCACGTGGGCCCAGATTTGGGGGATGCGTCCACGCCCCTTCCGACAGTTACCGCATCTCGTGGGGCGGCGGCCGGAGCCGCGAGACAGCGGCTAGACAGGGTGACCCAGCTGCATTCCTGACCAGTGTGTCAGCGCCGCTTCCCTCCCCCTCTGCGAGATTTCGGATCCCACTCCTGAATTGAGGTACCCCTCTTTTCGGGGAGAGAGCCGCTTCCCAGAGTGGAGGGAGGGTCAGCCTGGGATCACGAGACAGTTCTCGCACGGGAGCGAAACACGGGGACGTCGCCCCTGCGGGCTCCCGGACTACAATTCCCAGAGGAAGCGAGGCGGGGAGGTGCCGGACCTACGTCCTGACGCTGCTAGGGATTGTAGTCCCAGCCTTGGGCGCTGTTGCTGGGAAATCCTGTCAAGATCCAATCCACCCTTTTTCCCGGCGGGGAGACTGAGGCTCAGAGACCTGAGGGGATACTGATTTAGCGAGGTCCTCTTCTCTCCCTAGGGGCGTGACGTGTGAGTCTCCCCCAGCCTCTAACCTTCTACTCCTTTGGTGGTGTGCAAATCTTCATAAAAGAAGGGGGAAAGTGAGCCTGGGAGGGATGGGCAGGGACTCTGGAGTGTGTCTCCCGCAGCCGCGGAGAGGTAGGAGGCTGGACTCTATTTCCGTGGCCAGGTCACCTTCGGCTTCTGGGCCTCGCCCCTTCCTGTCTGTGAAATGAACTTCAGACGACTCCTAAAGGGAATGGCTCAGTCTGCGCCCTGCTCCTCCGGGACTACAAGTCCCAAGGTGCTCGGGGAGACCCCGGCTCCCCCTCCCCTCTAGGACCCGCCTCCCTCCGGCCGGAGTCACGTTGTCTAACCTGTTCTCGAAGCCTGCCCCGCCCCGTCCTCCGCTCCCCGCCGCCGGAGTTGGAGCCGGAGCCGGAGGAAGCCCCCTGGTGCCAGGATCTGCCCCGGATCCGTGAGTTTCACTCCCCTACTCTGGGGTCTAGTGGCTCCTGAGGAGCAGACACCCGCGTCCCTGGAAGGACTGGGAGGGGATTCGCACGCCGGGTCCCATTGCGGAATTGGGGGTGCGCAGACGCCAGGGTCCTTGGAATGAGAGAACTCGGATACCTCTGTACTGAGCAAAAGTAAAAGGAGTCTAGATGCTTGAGTTCTTGGAATAGGGTGCTCGGACGCTGTGGTCCTGGAGATGTTGTTAGGGCTGGGACTCCTGAGCTCCTCGAACTGGGGGCTCTCCGACCGTGAGTCCTTGAGTAGAACTGGGATAGAGGATGCTGAGTCTTGGGCAGAAATGGGAGGGTCGCATGGCCGGGGCTCTGGAACTGGGTGGCCATCCCTACTGCCCTCCTGTTCTCCACTGAGCCTGTAGGTCTCCGAGAAGAATTAGGGTTGGGCTGGGGATAGTGGGACCTGGGTCCGTGAAACGGAGCAAGACAAATACCACCCTCCGCAGGCTGTGTCCCTGCCCTCCCCCCGACTTTCCGGCTCTGAGGTGGGGGCTGGGGGGGAGGACCTGGGCAGCTCTACAACACCCTCTGTGCCGCTGTGTGATCCCCAACATGTCATTAACCGAGGCGTCAGACCTGCCTAACCAGAGAAGGGACCTCCGCCCCAGAGCGCCCCCTGGCACAGGCGTGGTTCCTCAGATTGCCCCATGGAGGTGGGAGACAACCGGGGTTTGCAGAGGGCAGGCGTTCCAGATAGAACCGAGGGCAGAATTCCAGAAGGTGGGGCTGGATTCTGGGGGGCTTGCATGGCCAGACACAGAGAGGATGCGAGTAAATTGAGGCTTAGAGGTCAAGAGTTGGGGGGTCCAGATTTGGCGTCCCTCTCCCTCCGCAGCTCTCTGGGGGGCGGAATTCCATCAATTCCCACAAGATTTTCTGACTAACCTCCCTCTAGGGTTCCTCACCCTGACCCCGAGGTGAGAAATGTCACCTCCGCCCCCATCTCTCTGACCTGAGGTAGCGTGGGAGATAAGGGAGGGATAGAGGCTAATTCTGGAGGTGTGTGTCTGTCCTTGAAGCAGGGGGAGGGCAGGGCCCTGCACCTCCCTCTGTCTGTCTACCCCTTCGCTCCGCCCCCACGTGTCCTGGGAAGGGATTAAACAAGGGGGTGGGGGAGGCTAGGGGCTCTGATGAGAGAGGGAAGAACTTCCTAAAAGTCTGGGCTTGACAGGCATTTGGTGATAGTCCGCGCTGACATTAACAGTAATAACCGTAGCTGCCAAGACAGAGCCCACAGCATGCCAGGCTCGGGGCTGTTAGGTAGACCAGCTGGTTCCCACTGTCCCGGGCTACTATTCAGAGGTGTCACGTCCACTGAGGTTTGCTGACCCCACCTTGGGGAATGACTTCTCCCTACTCCAGTGGGGAAACGGAGTCTGAAGAGCAGGCACAGCCCGCGCCCTGGGCTTTTGCCACCTACTGTCTGAAACCTTCCAGGTTTCCTCATGTCCCTGTGCTTAAATCATTGTGGATGACCCCTGGCCAGAACTCAAGAATGTACCTGGAGAGTTTAGGGCTCAGGAACTCAAGACTCCAGAGGTCAAAAGGCAGGGCTTTTAGAATCTCAAAAAAGAGTTGAAAGGGACCTTTTTTGGGGGAAAAAAGTTACTTTGGGTATTGAGCCCCGACTCTGTGCCAGCCCCAGTGTTATCTTAATGCTCGTCAAAGGGGGGCCGTCATGAAGGGTCCTTTATGTGTGAACTTAATTTGGTGCCATGCACTTTTCTAAAGTAAACACTGTCCATAAATTGTTACTCAACTCTCACACCCCTTTGAGGTAAAGGTATTAATCCCCCTCCTCATTATTCACTTGAGGAAACTGAGGCACAGAGCCTTAGAGAGGGGACGTCCTAGCCCATGCCACAGCTGTCTCCAGAGGTGGAAACCAAGTCCCAGAGAGGGTGGGGACACTCCCAGCTTCAGTCGGTCCGCACCGAGCTGTAGGATTACAACCTGGGTATTCCCAGGCCAGCCTGACGCTCTGACCTGGTTTCTACTGAGGATGATTCCTCCGGGAAGTGCCAACCCCTCCCTCCTGCCTGGATTCTTAACCTAAAGAACCTGGCTGGGGTGCGGAGAAGGCCTGGAAGAGAGCTAGGGGCGGATGGGAGAGGAGAAGCGGAAGCGGGGGGGGGGGGGGGGGTGTTGGAGAGGACCTAGGGGTGGAGGGCGAGGGCCTGGGAGCGGAGGCGCCGCCCGCGCCGCCCGAGCCGCCCTCGCGCCCCGCCCGACCCCCGCTCCCCTGCCCCGGGAGGTTTTGCACCTGCCCGGACCCGCCGCGCATTCCCGGGGTCTGAGCTCAGGAGCTGTCCGCCCGCTGGGCTGGGGTCGGGCCGTCACCCGGAGCGCCCCCTGGCGGCCCCGACTATGCCTCCGTCCTCACCAGCCTCGGGCCGGCCCCACGCCCAGCCTAGGCATTTCCTCCGAGCCAGAGCGTATCAGCGTGGGATCTGAGAGTCTTAGAAATTTGGAAATCATGAAATCCCCAAAAGAACCGCTCGCTGCCTTCACTGCTGGCACTGGAGACTGCATAGAATTGATCCATTTTTATATTTTAACAGACACTTACAGAATGTTTCCTGTGTATCTCTGAGATTCTAAAAGACCTGAGTTTTGACTTCTGTAGTCTCTACTGTCCGAGGCCTTAATTCCTCTTGGTACCTCCTGGTCAGCTAGATCCTTACAACAGTAAGGTTCTCTGAGGTAGAGTGCTGCTTCTCTTCGTTTTATAGATGAGGAAACTGAGGCAGTCTTGTCAGGGAGGGGCAGTGGAACCAACGGATCAGAGCCCGGAAGTCCGGTTCTCCTTGCGCTCTTGCCCACTGCACCGCACCAAACAGTCACCTAGGCTTTCAGGACGCTAGGATCCGTAGACTGAATGGGGTGCAGGACGATGAAGCAACCTAGGCTAGCCAAATTAGAGAATTCTAGAACGTCCCAAAGATAGAATCTTGGACTCAGAACTTTCCAACAGTAGACTCTCAAGCTGAGGGTTTTCAGCTCTCTGGAACATTCTCAAGGTCCTTAACAGTTTTAGAATCTAGGCTGCTGAGAGATTGAAGAGCCCTCTCAGAACAGCTGATTTACCTCCTCCCTTCACGACTGGGGAAACTGAGGCCTAGGAGTAAAGGGGACACGTTGCCCAAGTTTATACACTCCCAACACACCCAAACAAGCCACCAGCTCCAACAGGTTCTGTTCTGAGGCTTCTCAGACAGAAGCCGGATCAGCATGCCCCAGCCCGCCCTGCTGCCCACGCCTGAACCGCCAAAGCCAAGCGGTAGGTGAAGCCTGGGGAAGTGGCAGAGCTGGTGGGCGTGGCAGCCACTGTGGGGATGGGGACAGTGCTGGCC